CAAAATGCATAAAATATACAGCAGATAGACATACAATTGTAATGTCATCCATTTTCTCCAACAAAAAATCTGAGTATAACTGTGTTTGAGTGAGAAGTTCATCCAATTTGGTAAATTGATTATCATTCAAGTTTGGAGATTCTGTTGAATCCTCAAGTCTCTTGGCCTCCTCTTACTTAACCAGAGCTTCCAGCAATTTCTGCTCCTCTTCCGCCATCTCTTTTGATATAAAGCTGGAATCCCCAATTTTTGCTTCCAAAATTATCTCTTCCTCCAACTTGATCTCATTTTCCCCATTAGACAAATCCTTCATGCCAAAAGGGGAAAAAAATGTCATAAAACCGTTTAACATTCACTACTGACATGCATAACATACACTATTGACATGCACAACATACAGAAGTTACAAGCACGAAATCGACTCTTTTCTTTCCAGCAATTGCGAAAATATCCACACAAGTTCTATTGTAGCATCAGAAGAATCAAGAGGTAAAAGGAGTCGGAGCACTGAGCCAGAGTCAAGAAAGCGAAAAAACCTCGTTTTCCAGAACCGAAGTCGGGGACTCTGCAGAATTATCAGCTCGTGGTTTCTCCTCGACAGCCATTGTCAGCCCTAAAATGAGTGTCAAACGGTGAATAAAGACCGGATCAAACCTTCAAACAGAGCAGAACCACTTGAGAGTAACGAAAACCAAGTGATTTCCCTAAGAAGCAGTAAAACCGTGCTTAGAGTTGATTGATCTTAGGTACTGTTCTTACCACTCAACAAATACAAAGAAGAAAATCTGGAAGAAGAACGAACCAAATGCGCAACATAAAATCGAACAAACTCTAGTGCCCTAGTGAGATTCAGGGAAACGACCCGGGAAAATGGATCGTCGTGATGTTTGGCGGAGAATCTGCACGGTCTGAGTAATATTGGTTCTTTAAAACGAAAAATAAAAAAATAAAAAAACAGTTTCTTTTTTCCTGGTTAGGGTTTTTGGCGGGAAAGGAACAGCCATTTTGGCCCTGAGAATGCAATTAATTACAAAAATACCTTCCTTTATAGTCTAGTTGTTGTAAATTTATTAATTACAAAGACGTCGCAGGAATTTTTAAAAAATTTTAATTTAATTTAACACCGTTATCATTTATTTAAAAAAATCGACAAAGTGATAGAAAATTTATAACTCATAATCTTTTTAGTGAAAAACGTCTTAATCAATTGATTAATTATGAAAATGTAGAAAAGAGCATTGAAACTAAAAGATTAATATATTATTAAAAAAATCTATAAAAAAAAGTAAGTGATAGAATAATATTAATATTTATATAATTTATATTAGACATTTTATCAAAATATATACAAATTCGGAAAGTTAAAAATTTAATTAAATATATTTTAAATGTTTATTTATCAAACAGACAATAAAAATCCTCTAAGTTATTGGGGACCACAATTGTTTAACAGTAACAATGACGCAAATAAATTGAAATCATCTCAAAATACTTTTTTCCTTTTTTTTCCCTAAAAATTCAAAAAAGAAAAAAAGAAAAAAAATAAGCTCTGAAATTGAATGAATATATAAAAATAAAATATCTGTGAAGGAAAAAAACAAGTGGGGGCTCAAAAGAGAGGCCTTTGGGTCCCGGGATGGTTGATCTCTCGTGAGTCATTGCTAGAAGTTGCGAGCTCACTGCTGTCGTCTGACAAAGCTAGTTTCCTGAATCTCGACATGTCGGCTTGGTACGCATTTGAATCATAGTCCGAGCCTGCCACACTGTAAATTGAGCTTTGACCTGGTCTTATCCCGTCGTTTAGGTCGTCCAATGAATAATCCCCTTCTAGGGCTCGTACTACTTGGCTCATTTTGGGGCGTTTTCTAGCGGAGTGACGGATGGAGGCTGCAGCACATGATACCATGCGCCCCATCTCCTGAGTATTGAACTCCTTTCCTAATCGCTTATCCACCAGCACTTCGTATACATCTTCTCCCATTTCCCCGCTAATAATCGCTCGTGCCTATCCACGTTTTTAAAAGAGTTATCAAACCAAAGTTAAATAAGTATATCTAATTATAAGCTTCTTATATAACGTATACCAACCCAATCTACTAAGCTATCCTCCATAACATTATTATGATCAACCGGTCGTTTTCCAGTAATGAGTTCCAATAACATTATACCAAATGAGAACACGTCGGACTTCTCCGTTAGCTTCCCACTTGATGCATATTCTGGCGCTAAATACCTAAATCAACATAAAAAAAACATTACAATTAGTCAACTAGACCAGGTTAGATATAAACATAAAAGGATTAAATTTGAAATTTAATTACCCAAATGTACCCATAACCCTGGTGGAGACATGAGTGTTAGTATCTGAAGACAACTTAGCCAATCCAAAATCCGCCACCTGAAGTCATAGAAAGATTATGGGATATTGATATTAAAAAAATCGAACAATTAATCCCTTAGTATGATGTATGTTTTTTTTCATACCATTGCTTCGAAGTTGGCATCAATTAGAATATTAGCGGATTTGATATCCCGATGAATAATTTTTGGATGACCTGAGAGTAAATGCATTTGTTTGTTACTATAAAACTTGTGATTTAAAAAGCATAGGGAAATGTAGACATTATAATGTTTTAGAGGGGAAAATTCTTACAATCTTCGTGAAGGTAAGCAAGACCCTTGGCAGAACCTATGGCAATACGAAGCCTGGTTGGCCAATCCATTACAGGGAGGTCTTTACCTGAAACCAAATCATAAAATTGAGAGAGAATTAATTTTTTGATTTTTGTAAATAAAAAAAGGTACCATGAAGGTGATGCTCCAAGGTGTTGTTAGGAACAAACTCATAGACCAACATTCTCTGTCCACCGGCAATGCAAAAGCCAACCAAGGACACCAAATGGCGATGGTGGACTCTACTAATAATCTCAACCTCAGCCATGAACTCCCTCTCCCCCTGCCCGCTTCCCACCTTGAGGCTCTTCACCGCCACCTCTTTCCCGTTGGGCAACACCCCCTTGTGCACGTATCCGAACCCCCCCTGCCCAAGCAGGTTGCCGTGCGCGAACCCTCCCGTTGCTGCTGCAAGCTCGTCGTACGTGAACGTGCTCTTGCTGAACCCGAACGCAAGGGATGGCGATGGTGGAGGAAGAGGAGGCCCTGTAAAACTACCGCTTGTGGTCATGTTCTCACTACTCATGGGCGGCCACCCGTTCCCGCCCGGACCCCCCCCTGCGTTGTTGTTGATGTGCCAATTTGGTTTTTGTGAACCGTTGTAATAGTTACCACCTGCATCTGTGATAGTTAACATTATATGAAATAATTGAATTAATTAAAGTGGTGTGGTTTGAGAAAATTAATTTAACCTTTAGGTCCATTCGCATTATCTCCACTATAGTACGACATAGGATCTTCCTTCCTCTTCCTCTTCTTGGAGCACAGAGCAATTAATGATATGAGAAGAATTATGAACAATCCCACCCCCACCGCCACTCCAATTATAACTCCTGGACTCACATCCGACGACCCTGAATCATCATTGTTCGATGATTTGTGTGATGATTTGTGTGATGATTTCCCCTCCGTCCGATCTCCCGAGGTCAATGCATCTTTTGAAGATGAGGAAGATCGCGGTGAAGGAGATTTTGAAGCAATCGGCGTCGATGACCGCGGGCTTGGCGCTTTTGAAGATTTACCCGAATTTGTATCCTTGGAAGAGTCCTTTGATGACTTTGGTGCTGGAGATTCATCTGCATAATGTAAATCAAGGTTTAAATATAATTACGACAATCTTTTAAAAAAAAAATAATAATAAATAAATAAATCCTGTGGTTCATCTCCTAACTCGGAACTCCTTGTCCACAATAATTTAACAGAACCTGATGGGGGCGGTGAGATACCGAAGTTATTATCATCTGATGGCGTAGAGCGATCGGGGTCGAAATCAGGAAATGATGGTGATGGCGGTGAGAAGGAAGACGAAAACGACGACGATGACCATGAGGAGAACGAGGACGAGGACGAGGACGACGAAGACGGAATGGCTGGTGTAAATGAAGAGTCGTGCCCGGAAGTAGTTTCTTCAAAAGTTGAACTCATCTCTCTCTCTCTCTCTCTCTCTCTCTCTCTCGAATGATATAAAAAGCAGTGAAATTCCGGCACAGATTAAGCACCAAATATTGTCGCCGGAAATTTCACCAGCTTTCATACAAAACCCTGAACAGAAAAAAAAAAAAAAAAAACACAAAACACCAACCTAATGGCTCACTGATTCCGCCATGACAACAAAGTGTGGAGAGAGAGGATTAAGATTAAAGAAGGGATTAGGGATTAATTACCTTTTGGAGAAAGAGGGAAGAAGGGGAGGAAAATGAGCCTCAAATTGAGAATCCCTTGAGAGAAAATTAGAGGAGACCCCCTTTTGGATTGCGTAATCCAATGGTCTCCTACATACAAGCTGGATTAGGCATTGTTTTAAATTTCCTAATCCCAAGTTTAGTTGGAGTTTGTTATTAATATTAACCATTTACACCACTTCTGGTTGACCTCTAACCCTTCTTTTTTTAACTAACTAACTCCTTGTAATCATTATTTTTGGTCTCCTGTTTTCAAGCTTTTCTTTACACTTCGCATCAAACNCAGCCTCAAAAAAAAAAAAAAAAAAAAAAAAAAAAAAAAAAAATCGAAACAATTTATGGGCCCGTTGACTTCTCCTGATTTACTTGCTTTTACTTTCCCACGGGTTGGCTCTATCCACAGACACAAACGTTCTTCATTTGCACTATGTTTATTTTTAACATATCTTTGTCGGTATTTTGGAATATTAATTTCTCCAAACTTTTCTTAAATTATGGTGACATGTTTTTCAACTCTTTTCTTTATGTGTGCATTTTTATTGATGGAATATTATTTAAACGTTTGAAATTTATACAAGGTTTAGTATTATTTTTATTAATTTAATTTTAAGATTTTAAAGTTACAAAATAATATTGGTCTTATTTTTTTGGGCAAAGGACAACAAACATGACCAATTAAAGACAAGTCTTTTGTTTCAACCCGTCGACGGCCACTATATAGTCGGTCCTATCCACTTATTTCCACATAAAGAAACTTCACCAAACCCAACCAACTCGCTCGTGTTTCTCAAAACTTCTTGTAAATCATGATCCTCCCGCGGCATCCTCTCCACCGGACACACCCTCACAAGGCTATTCACGTACGGCAGAAACCGCCCCGCACTGGCACGATCTGGCAGATCGACTAATTTTTTCACAATCTCCCCTTTCCTTTTTTCCACATCATACAGAATCACATTGCTCCCCACAAGAATCATCGCCATGCCATCACTTACACACGATAATACTCTAACCTCTCCATCAAAATCCTCTCCCAAATAACTCCCAACATCGAGAGGAAATCGATGCTTCAACACCATGTCATGACCACCATAAATGCCAAGCGAATAAGCACCCGCTTCATCATTCTCACTGTTACAAGTTATTACCATAGCATAGCACATCTCTCCACGGATCTCCGTTATAGCTCCATGGCCGGGAGGGAGAGGGAGCTGAATCTCCCCATATACTTCATATTTCAAATCAAACCCCAGTATGACGCCGTTTGACGTCTCCCAATACACGGTTTCACCAATACAAAATCCGTCCCCTTTGAACATCAAATCACCATCGCCAGCATAGAAGTATTGGGAGTCAGAAATTTTCCAAGTGTTGGTCCTAGAAGAGTAGATCTCAAAGTAAACAGCTTTGACGGAATGAAAGGGGACAGCACAGACAATCTGGAACTGGGATTCAAAGTTGAAAGTGGAGAGAGTGAAAGCAAGGGCAATGGCAGAGACATGGCCATGAAGCAGAGAGGGCTCGGGGAGCTGTCTCCATTCCATAGTAGCGGGGTTGCATATGAAATAGATGCTGTCCTGGAAAGTGCTTTGGCAGCAGAGGAGGCCGTTGGAAGTGGTTCGGATGGAAGTGGATTCAGGGAGGAAGGAAAGGGAAGGGAATGGGACGCCATGGGAGTGGGGGTCGAGAGGGATGAAGAAGCAGTCTTGGCTGTTGGATTGGGAGAAGAAGCCGGAGGTTTTGGTGAAGTGAATGGCTTGCTGGTGGGCGAGGAAGGGAGAAGAGATCCATTGGTTCCAGTCTTTCGAGACGGATTTGAATCTGCACAGGGATTTGGCTGGGACGAAACGAAGTACGTCCGTCTTTATTACGTCCTGGATGCCCATTTTGTCCTGTAACATAACAATATCATACTCAACATATCAGAATCAGTGAGAAATATGAAGCATTGCTTGGTTTGAAATTTTGGTTACGATGCATGTAAATATGATGTTTGGTTACTGTTCAATATATTATATTATGAATCGCTATTAGAAAAAAAGTTAATCGTGGTTTAATAATATGATTTACAAATATACAAAATTGAAGTTCAAACAAATCAATCCATTAATGCATCAATGCATCAACGCAAAAAGTTAATCAATGATTAATATGATTATACTAGATTAACACCTGCACTTATTTGAGATAGAATTAGTAAGTTGTTAAGCCATTCATCATTATTAAAAGGAATAGTTTATTTGAGTAGAGTTTTTGTAGGAGCTAAGATTTATTTCAGTTTAAATGGTAGCCTCCCCTTAGTAAAACACAAACAACAGTAACATTATTTCAGTTTGTCTTTGTATTACCTTCGTTGTTTCTAAGAGACGATCAAATTTGACTCGAATTCATTCACTCAAAACTCTGAGACTAATTCCTAATAACATATAAAGAAGGATCAAAGGCGTAAGAATCAAAAACACGAACCTGGCAAGAACAGAGTCGATCTGTTTAATGCAATAAACTCTGAGTTCTTCAAGCTCTTCCGGAGAATCAAAATGAAATAACGACGGAGGAATTGGAATCAGATTGGAACTGTAACTGCGAAGAATTTGGGAAGATATAGGATAGTTTGGGAAATGATCGGTGATCAGGCGATGAAAATCGGAATCGTAGAGCGAGAGAGAGGCGTTTTTGGCGGAGAGAATCGGAGGGGTAATTAATAACAAAGAGCACCGTGAATAAGAAGAATCATAGCGTTTATTTGGCTGTGCGATTTCGTCAAAGTCTACGCGGACCATGACTCAGGCTTGCGGGCGAAGCAACCTATGGCGCTCATCTGCAGCGTCATGACATCACCGCTGGATTGTAGTTTGTCTGTGCGCAACTCTAACCCCGAAACGCAAAGCAAAGCAAAGATTCAGAGTTAGGTGACTTATTCAAAAATTAATTTGTGTTCCAACTTAATTTATTTTTAATTGTTTTTTTTATATGATACATACATATGTTCATTTTATCATTTATTTATTTATTTATTTATAAGAGACATTTTTTTTAATTATTTTTTTAAAAACTCTTCAACTAAAACTTTAAGTTTTTGGAATAATTTTTTAAAAATATATATATATTAAAATTGATAATGTTTGAAAATAAATAAATAGATAGTTTAGCGTATTAATATTTTATTTTTATTAAATAAATAAATGATTTGAATAACCATAATCCATTATTTAAAATGATATGGTGAGTTTAAATATTATCTATGAATTTTTACTAAAACATAATAACTATATTCTATTTAACATATTTTTTAATATTATTGTCGTGATGGGAAGAAGTGGAGATGAGGACTGAATTTTCTTTGGATTTTCGCCGTCATCCAAAGGAAGAAAAAAAAAAAACATAAAAAGTCGTTATGGGCGGTTATAGACCATTCTCAAGAGACACCAACAAGAGTTTTTATTTTTTTATTTTTAATGAACTGATTAAATAAAATTATAAAAGTTTTAGTACCAAAATTATAACTTAACCTAACTTTAAAAAATAAAACGCTCCAAACTTATCCAAAATGTTACAGTTTCAAAAAACATTTTTGAAAACGAAAAAACGAAAATATATTGCAAATATTTAAAAGAAAAGAGATAAAATCAGTGTAATTCAAATTCTAAAATCATTTATTTGAATAAAATGTGTAAGAAATAATAAAGCAAATGGGAAAATCCCGAGACCTGGAAAAACCGGGGTAAGCGGGGAGCAGACAATAAACCTACAAATGCGATTGCTTGTTCTTTCTTTTAAGATCAAAAGTAACCTCTCCCTTCGTACTTTTCAAATTTTCACGTCACAATTAACAGTGTCTATAAATAGTAAAAAGTTAAAAAATGAGGATGAAAGTAACTTCCTTTCACAAACAAAATCTTTCGCCCATCCATTCAACTTTACTTTTTTCTTCTTCTTCTTCTTCTTCGCATTAACCTTACAATCTGATAGGTACATGAGGTTGATGCATCACAGGAATGGAGGGGAGAGATTTGAGTGTAAATAAGGCAAAAGATTTGTAAAATTTGTTAGAAATTACGAATCTACACAATGTTACGATATTGTCAACTTCGAGCATTGAACTCTCATGACTCTTAATTTTTTCAAAAAGATTTTGTACTTATAGATTGATCATTTCCTTAATTAGTCAATGTGTAGCTGACTCTTAACCATTTTAAAGAAGACCGGGTATGAAAAAAATAGACAAAGGAGAAAAGAGAAGGAATGGAAAATAAAAATGAAATGGTCAAAAAGTAAAAAAGACACAAATTGGGAACAAAACATGATTTTGTTTCCTTGGATCCTCATATTGCATTATTAGAATAGCTTTAATGGATTGACTTATTCTTTGAAATTATATGTCTTTTGATATACCTCTTATCATTGAATGGGGAAAAATAATTTTGGCTACTCCCAAGTAGGAACCCCACCGATTGCCTATTGCCTATTGCCTATTACCTATTACCAACCCTTTTCTTTTCCCCTTTCAATATTGTTTCTTTATTTCTTGATTCTTGTCATACTATAATATATATATATATAAGACTGAGAGGACAAAGAGACAAAACCATACAGAGAGTGTGTAAGCAGATGATGATGGCAAAGCAATTCAGACTTCTCCGAATCCCTTCCTTCCAGTGTTGCCGTTCCAGCGACATCTCCGTCGTCCCCACTGACCCACCACCTCCCCCCTCGCCCTCATCAAAACCCCACCATTATTCCTCCCTCAGGCGCCACGTTTCCTCCGCCTTCAGAACTGCCGCCTGCGGCAGGAGATCACTCTCTACCAACTCTGACGATGAACAAATTACCAAATCATCCCCAAAACTTCCTCGGCACGTGCCACCCACGCCCCTCCCTGAATCACACGACGACGCTTTGCCTCTGCCGAAGCAACAACGACGCAGGAAGAAGAAATCGAAATCAACCACACTCGCACGGCTTCGAATCAGCACCTCTTCGACAGAGAGCGGGCTATTCAGCAGCGAATCGTTCGACGAAATAGACGAATTAGAAGAAACCGAAACCCTAATTTCTTCATCCAAAACGATCTCCAGTACCGACGACGACGATTGCTCCTCCGAATTCAATCCTCAATTGGAAACCATACGCGAGAAGCCGTACAAAGGCAGGAACAAGATCAATTTGAAGAATAAGAAGAAGAAGAAGGAGAAGCGCCATCGTAGCAGTAATCGACGGCAGAAACCAAGGAGGATGATCAAGACATCGCCTTCGCCAGAAAGCGAGTCGCCAGCGAGGCTTTCGGTGTTCCAGAGGCTGATACCATGCACAGTGGACGGGAAGATCAGAGAGAGCTTCGCGGTGGTGAAGAAATCGGAAGATCCGTTCGAGGATTTCAAGAGATCGATGATGGAGATGATAATGGAGAAGGAGATGTTCGATGAGAAGGATTTGGAGCAGCTTCTTCACTGTTTGTTGTCATTGAATGATAGAGAACACCATAGAATTATAGTGGAAGCTTTTTCTGAGATTTGGCAATCCTTGTTCTGTAACAAATCGACAAGTCGGACAAGCATCTGAATCGATCGTTCCCCAGTTCTACATGTCGAACTCCCACTCTGTTTTTTACAAGGTAAAAGTCAGTTGTGCAAATATGAATGATGATTTTGTTGCCATTGGATCCCCACATTCAATTATGAAATCTTCTAATTTACATTTCATAAATTTTAGCTTCTTTCATGCTTTTTTTTTTTATTTTATATAAATTAAATTTAGTTTCTATTATTTATAAAGTTCTTTCATTTTTTTTTTTTAAATTATATTGGTTTATTTATGACTAATAATTTAATTGATAATGAAATTAGAATTTCTGACCAAAGTTAATCATAATTGAAATTTTTAAATATGAGAAACTCCTGCAAATTATTTAAACAATAGATATAATTGAAAATTAAAATACTTTAAACCCTAAAAATTAAAAAAAATAAAATATATGCCTATGAGTTAGAATTTTTGAAAAATTAAACTTAATTCATGAGGTGGATTTATTTATTTATTATTATTATTTTTTGTCGAACTCAATCCATTCTATTCTGGTTATGAAAGTTAAAAATATTTTAAGTTTTGTTAAGAATGTTAGAAATGGATTGTGTATTGGTAATGTTTAATATTTTAGTTTCATGAATTTTTAATTGAATTATAATTTTAAAAAATAATTAACAAAGACTAGTGACCTTTATTAAAAACATTATTTAAAAAAAAAATTAAAAAACACATACAAACTTCTAAAATTTTAATAATACTCTTAAAACTTAAAAAAATTGCTTACATAGAATGGTTTAAACAAATATCCTTTGGACTTTTAAATTTCATCCCACCTTAAAGTTTTTTAAATCTAAAACTTTTCTAAGATATGTATTTTTGAAAGGTTACTCGTTCAAAAATATTTATAAAGTAAAGTATTACTTCTATATATAATTAAAAAAAAAATAATGGATTAAGAGTTATATTATTAAAATTTGAAAGAATATTTTTTTAGAGTAAAATTTCCATCAAATTTGTATTAATGTATGAATACTCTTATTTTCAAAGGAAAGCACCGAATCAATTTTTTCGTATGATTTTATTTATTCAGACTCTTGTGCCATTAGTTATTAGGATCAAATGGGCGATATTAATTAAATTTGAAGGAAAAGTATGAACTTCAACAAATTTTTTAATTTAAATAAAAGTCAAAACTTTACAAACTTAAATTCGATGGGATGCATACACACCATCAATAATCAAATACATCTCTCAAAAACTATTTTTTTTTTCCTGAAATCCAACCTTATTGTTGATTTTATGTGAAGCTCTATTTATTTTAAAGTAATCATACATTTTATTATTCATCAAACAATTATTTTTATTTATTTTTTCTAAATCATTTAGAGGGTTGTTTTTAATAAATAAATTTTTTCTAAATCTAAAATAAATTAATTTAATCCAAACTAAATGAATTTATAAGCCTCATAGTTTTTTTTTTTTTTTTTTTTTTTTTTTTAAAGATCGGGGGGTCTATTTAATTTGTAATTTTTTTTATAAGATCAATTGGTTATTTAACCTAGTTTGTATTGCTATAATCTCGCTTCCATTTGTTAGGGGCAGTGGTATTTTCGAAATTACATCAAGATGTTCAATATAACCTTCCCTACCCAGCATTCGTCTTCTTCAGCAGAGCCCTCTTAACCCGGCCGCCCATTCTCACTTCCACTTCTCGGTTTCTCCACTGACGGCGGTTCGCCATCTCTCGGCCGTCTCTCCAGTCAGTCTTCTTTACATACTCTTGATTTTTTCTACTTTTCTTCAAAGTTTTCTGATTTTTTTTTCTTATAGATTTTGGTCTTCTCTACTAACATAGCTACGTATATGTATTGATATTTTTCCAACCCTAATGCAAATCTCGATGCACAGAGATTGAACAATGGCGACTGGAACAGAACAGCGTCAACTCACGCAGAAGGAGGCGGACATTCAGATGATGTTGGCCGCTGAGGTTCATCTAGGTACTAAAAACTGCAATTTCCAGATGGAGCGATACGTTTTCAAGCGCCGGAATGATGGTACGTTGTTAATAATTTCTCATTTAGACCTTCGTAGTTGTTTAACACCGTAAAGGACTTCCTATAGGTTGATTAGAAGAAAGCCTTTTTTCCCCCTCTATTCTCTCTGTTTTCATCATTGGCGGTGGTTTTAGATTGAACTTGGATATAACGGGTGTGGCTATTATTCTGAACAGTATTTTAAACCTTAATTTTTAGAACGAATCTCTCAGGACCAGAATGGGATCATAATTTCATCAATAGTCACGAATGATTCTTTCTTTCTCTCTATGTAGGAATCTACATTATTAACCTGGGCAAAACATGGGAGAAACTTCAGATGGCTGCTAGAGTTATTGTGGCTATCGAGAATCCTCAAGACATTATTGTTCAGTCTGCCAGGCCTTATGGCCAGAGAGCTGTTTTGAAGTTTGCACAATACACTGGTGCTCATGCAATTGCTGGGAGGCACACCCCTGGAACATTCACCAACCAGCTTCAGACCTCATTCAACGAGCCACGTCTTCTGATACTTACTGATCCTAGAACTGATCATCAGGTGCTTCAACATTTTTAAGAATCAATACCGATCTCTTACCAAATTTAGATTTACTCATGTTTATTACCCTAGTTAGTTATAACTTATACTCGACTTCACTTGTTGTTGCTGCTATTTATGTTGCCTGGTTGGTTTCTTGCTTGTTGTTGCAGCCCATCAAGGAAGGTGCCCTTGGAAACATTCCTACAATTGCCTTTTGCGACACTGATTCACCAATGCGGTATGTTGACATTGGGATTCCAGCTAATAACAAGGGGAAACACAGCATAGGATGTCTATTCTGGCTTCTTGCGAGGATGGTTTTGCAAATGCGTGGAACAGTTCGTCCTGGGCACAAATGGGACGTGATGGTAACTTCTCAGTTCTATTATCTATCTGAACTTGAGAAATTGCATTCTGACATGGAATTTGAAATGGTACTTGATTGTTGAAACGTAAATCAAAAGCTTGGAATGAATATCAAAGGTGTGTTTGTTGTGTAGGTGGATTTGTTTTTCTACCGGGAGCCTGAGGAGGCAAAGGAGAAAGAGGAAGAACAGGCAGTTGCGCCACCAGATTATGGCATTGCAGATTTTGGTGCTGCTCCGCTGGTTGCAGATCGATGGGTTGCTGATGCTCAGTGGGATGCTCCTGATATGGTTCCAGCTGCTGCTGCTGCTGCTGCTCCAGTTTCTAATGTGGAGTGGGCCCTAGAGCCAGGTTGGATCCGAGCCTTTTGTTTTAGGCTTTATTCTGATGTTATAATATTCCCATTTTGGTCTAAGTTTTGAAGTGGTACCTATTACTTCCAATCATCTTGTAGTTTGTTAGCCATTGGTGTGATTTTCCAGTCCCAACCTTTTTTTATTTTGTATTTTGGACTTCATTGACCAGGAATTTTAAGATGCAATCAGTTAGGTTGGTCGTCTAATTTAGTTCAACAGAATGAAGGTTAAGATGTTTTTAATGCTCATTGGGTATTTTTTTGTCATTCGCCGTTTGCAGTCGCTCTTGGAGGAGCAGCAGATGGATGGGATGCTGCAGAAGCACCACCAGCACCTTTACCGGAAACTGGTGCACCTCCAGCCGCCAGTTAGTAATGAGGGAAGCCTTATCTCTCGCTTGGAATTTTGATTCGTCGATTTGAGTTTTGCTTGTTCATGTAGTAGCACCACCAAATTAGTTGCGCGTAAGCGAGCCTGAACACTCGTAGTACCTATCTTTACTCGTTTCAAAATTGAGTTGTGTTTTCTTTTCCTAGTCAAGTTTTAGATTTTGATGTTTGATGTCTTTTTTTTACTTCGTGGGTACTTTGGTACCAATTATTTATGAGAAATTAAAATTACTCAAAAGATTGTTGATCAGATGCAAAACTCTCTGCATCAAGTTATACTGAATTTCTCCCCATTTATCAACAATTTGTTCTATTGCCTGGAAATAAGGTATCAGATTTATATTTTCTCAACAAGGTTCCTAAGCCCAAATAATAGCAACATGAGAAATCAACATTTCAAAATCCCCATAAAAAACGCCCAATTCCCTATCTAGTTAGAGAAGAAGCTCCGAAGAAGTGAAACAATGGGGGCTCTTCAACTCCATTCTATCTCTCCTTCCTTACATGTCTGCCTGGAGCCGGAGCCATCGTGCGTCCACCATAATCCGTCGAGGGCCCTTGGCGACCTCAACATTTCGCAGTCAAGTCCGATTGGAAAGCTCATTCTAAAATTTTGGCACCAGAGAGTACAGGTCAAACTTCAAAATTGGTTTGTTGGTTTTGTTTGTTTGGTCACTTCTTTTACTGGGTCTTTGAATTTGATTTGTTTTTTTTTTTTCAGAAGAGATGGCATCATCACTCACAGAACCTTCTGTAGTGTGTTGACAAAGGAGGCCACCGGAGGTCTGTCTTTTCCGACGGCGGCGGAGAATCCTTGTTTGGAGTCCGATCCTCAAGCTTCGTCCGCCTGCTCCTCCTCCTTCAGCCGCCCCAACAGCCCATTCTCCATCCGACTGATGCGACATCGTCAATCTCGTCCATTCTGAAAAAAAGGTAAAAACAATTAGATGCTCTTTTTTTCAAGTCTTTTTAATCTCGAATTTTGAATGGAGTTTCATTATTAGATAAATTTTGAGATTATTTATAAATTTAAAAATATATATTTTTTATTTAGAATTTTTATAGATTGGATTAGATGGAGAGGGAATAAATAATTATAAAATTATATAAATCTAAAATAAATATATCCAAGTATAATAGTATTGTAAGAAAAAATATATGTTTTTATAATCAACCATAAATTCGAATGGTTATGTTCCATTCATGAAACCTATAAACCCCAAATTTATAAGTTTTAATTTATTTAAAACAAAGTAACTCAAATAAGTTTATAATTCAAATTATGGATAAGTTAAATTGATGGTCTCTGTTTTAATTCTCTTAATTTTTATTATCGGATTTGAGTTTAATCCCTATATTTTAAGATTTTACATATTTATTCATAGTTTTCACTAATACTGGTTAATTTTCTATTATTTACTTTATTCTTTTAAATTAATCCATTTTCACTAAAATATCATCCCTATATTAAGACAAGTATATATCACAATCATTTTAAATTAATTTATATTAAAAAACAGAAAAAGTTACCATTTGTATTTATTTAATTTTTTTCTATCTGTTCTGAAATTTTGTGAACCTTACGCAGAAAACTGGAGGAGGTTTTGAATTGGCGCCCGACATTCATTTCGGAGCATCTTTGGCGATTGTTTCACTTCATAGGGTTTATCCTCGACCAATTACTTGCTGATTTTCCTTCCCATGCGACCGATTTTCCTTTATTAGGCGTTACTTTTTCTAATCTTCAGAAGATGCATTTTCCTTCAAGTTCGCCCGGCTCCTCATATTAACTTCAACCTTCGACTCACTCTCTCGTCTATTATTTCCAGAAACCGGTACTTCTTCCTTTAGATTATTGTGTTATCTCCAAGTTTCATGGTGTAAACTTATGCATTTTCTTGAAACCCTGTCCTGTGGTCGAGCGACACCCAGGAGATAATCACAGTTGGAATTTCTTATTCTTTTCTGTCAACTGTTTATAAACTTAATATTTCGGACGTTGGCTAATCTTGCTTGGTTGCATCTCCAAGTTAATTGAAGTGTTTATGGCGTTAAAACGCTGCAAAAGAATGCAACGCCGATGAGTTTGACAACCAGGGGTCGTCTTTGTTTGATGGGGATGCTGGTACTGCATTAGAATTGAATTAATTACTCTTGGAGAGATTCCTGAGGCTGCGTTGACAACTGGCCGACAAATATTAGACGTATTGCGTAGCTCTCTTCATTTCACCTGGTACAGGTAAGCATATGGATTAACCAATTGATTTCATGTTCCATATCAGGGTTGTTTTGAGTTGCATTCCATGGACAGATTTTCAGATTAAAAGTTTGTTGCATTGAATGGGTGTAGATGAATTGAGAATGATGAAACTTTACAACCTTTATGGTATTCTAGGTTCTACGTTGATTGAGAGAGCCTCTGAATCAAAAGCATTTTCTGAAAGGGACTAGGATGCAAACAGGATCTGTTTTAAGGCTTAATACTACTACTATGTACTCTGGTGTTGTGAAAGCAATAGCTGCCGGACAGCGAAGTGGAATGTGCTATATAAACAATTTGCTGCGTGGACGAGGGGAATTGTTGACCAAGGATTGCAGTTTGTCTCATTCCTTGCCATATTCTACATTGTTGATATCAAATACCTTGCATTTTTCACCCAGATTCCATTCCAAAAGAAAATCAATGGTTGCTTCTAGTGCTAAATCCATTTTCGGAGATGCATGTGTCGATAATTTAATAAAAAACCATGGAAAATCTCTAGAGATTGCAACACCTGCGGGAGTGTTTAACCATAGGAGTCGTAGGAATTTCCAGAAAGCTTGTGTGGGTTTGAGAAGGAAACAACCATCCTATAATTGTCTAATCTCTTGGAGCAGTTCAATTGATGTAAAGCGTATGAAGGACAACTACTTTCTGCAAATTGGGTTGACCAATCTTCATGCCTTGTCTCATGTATGCCATGCTGCTGGGACTGATAATTCTCCAGCTTTTGACAGCAACTCTCGTGATGAACAGTTCACAAGTTCAAAGATTTTGTCAAGCAAGTATGTTTTCTATTTTTTTTTCTCTTAGTTCGATAAGTGTTAGTTGTAGGAGCTTTTAATTGTATATTGGTATATCTTCTTTCAATCTAGTAGTTATAATTGGGTTAGGACTATTTAAATTGTAATGTTGAAATCCTTTGGCCGATCTTTGACAATATCATTTTGCGATTTATCATCGGCCTTATTAGCTATGGCTCTATACCTTGATATGTATTGATTGTCTTATTCTGTAGACTGTTAATTGTAATTAACCACGGTTGAGTTGCATAATTGAGAGTGTTTGTTGAGCTTATGGTCATGTTTCCTCTCTGTGCTACGTCCTGATCTATATCATGTTTTCTCATTATTGGAAATTTATTTTCTTGTTTTTTTCAAACTACACTTTATTAGTTCATTAGAATTTATTTCAAATTTGAATGCCCTCTTAAGAAATGTTTAATTCTATTGAAATAAGGACTTTTCCTATAATTAAGTGCTTCATGCAAACAAGGGACCTTTGGTTTCTCGACTATTATTGATACTGATATTGAGTTTAGCTCATTCTACATTTTTTCCTTCTTTCAATTTATAGGTCATTCTTTCTCCTCTGTCCTGTATCATAAACCTTTACTCATAAAGATATTTTATCTCCCTCGCTGTACTTTGACATGATCTGTTCGATCTCTAGGGATTTATTAGGTGAAAGGACTTTGAAGCTGCTTTCAGGATCATGCTATCTTCCCCATCCAGCAAAAAAAGAGACAGGAGGAGAGGATGCTCATTTTATTTGTGTGGATGAACAAGTAATTGGTGTTGCAGATGGTGTTGGTGGTTGGGCAGATGTTGGTGTTGATGCTGGGGAGTTTTCTCGTGAGCTTATGTCAAACTCAATAAGTGCAGTACAGGAGCAGCCTAGGGATTCAGTTGACCCTGCCAAGGTGTTAGAGAAAGCTCACTCAGTCACTACAGCTAAGGGTTCTTCAACGGCCTGCATCATTTCCCTTTCTGAAAAGGTAATCAGTACTGCTAGTCCCAGAACTCACAAGTTATACGAATCCAATGCCTTTCTAATATTGTATGGTTAAGAAGTTTATTGTAAGATCTCTCACCAAGAATGTGCTTACTTTTGGCCTATGAATTGCTTAGTGCTGTGAAATTATATTTCGTGTATGAATGTCACTCCAAAAGTAGGTCCTCATTCAACTTGGAAGCTGTATAAATTGTAGATTGAGATGGTTTCTTTTCTTTTTCTGTTTCTTTTAAATAAAAATATATTAATGAAAAGTTTTGGTTTAATAGCAGGGACTCCGTGCGATTAATCTGGGGGATAGTGGATTCATAGTTATAAGAGATGGAAGCACTATCTTCAGATCTCCCGTTCAGCAACATGGCTTCAATTTTACTTATCAGTTGGAGAGCGGCTATAGTGGTGATTTACCCAGCTCTGGAGAGGTCTTGCAATTTTTTTAAGCTCTCTTTTTTTGCACTTTTATGTTGCTTAAAACATCAACCATGTTTACAAGGGGTGGAAGTTTTTCGCTTCTGTCTCTGCTTACATTTTAACAGAATTATCATATATCCGGTCTCTTAGAGGTTAAAACAATCCTCATCTTCCAGCCACAGAGTTTGGGCTGAAGTAGGGAAATTCATTACGAATGTGAACAGACCATTAGATTCAGCAGTTAATCTCATTTTCTTTGTCAATTTTTCTAATTTTCTAACTCAAAATGGCATGAAGTCCTTGAGCAATAAGATTGGGATATTTGCTACTTGCGGACAACTTTTTTCCATTGGTTAGATAATGGTATACCCTATATCTGTTTATGTAAGGCACTGAAGAATCTTTTCTTTGATCCTTCTGGCCAGATTTTCATAATACCTGTTGCACCTGGGGATGTCATAGTTGCTGGAACGGATGGATTATTTGACAATCTTTACAGTAATGAGATTTCAACTGTTGTAGTTAATGCGGTTAGATCTGGCTTGGCACCAGGAGTAACTGCTCAAAACATAGCTGCTTTAGCACGCCAAAGAGCACTGGATAGGAACCGGCAGACCCCATTTTCTGCTGCAGCTCAAGAGGCCGGTTATCGCTACTATGGTGGTAAGCTGGATGACATCACTGTTGTTGTTTCGTTTATAGCAGATTCCACAGATTCGTGAGTTTTTTCTACTGTCTCTTTCGACAATGGAGCTCGAATCAAGTGTATTTTA